GAAATTGAGGTCTGTAGTTTTTATTTATGTAGGCTTTTCAGGACTCTTATTTACACAGAACAAATAGCAAATATAACTTGCATTGCATACACACATACACATATCTGAACATTTTACAACTGACAAAACACATATACTGTACATACATATACAGTGCATTTTGTTAGCCCAGTTGCCAGGAGAAAATGTTGGCATTGTACATTTCTGCAAACCACCAGTACGTTACATTTGTACATTTCATCATATCAATGTTTCTAAAGATACATTGTGTATGAGCTGACTTTGTCATCAGGGGTGGAGGGGATGTTGCGTCACACCAAGGCAAAATACTTGCCAAGCTGCAGACCACTGTTCAACCAAAGAAATGATAAAGCCGTTTTTTGTTATGCCCTCACGCCAGCGTGGCCGGAGGCATTATATTTTCAGGTTGTCAATCTGTCCATCCCATACTTGGGAGATCTACTCTCAAGAATGCCTTGAGGGCTTTTTTTCCTTCAAATTTGTATGAATATTCACTTGGACTCAACAATAGAATGATTAGTTTTTGGTGGTCAAAGGTCAAGGTCACTGTAACCTTGTCTGTCTCATTCTCCTTAAAGCAATATGTGTATGTAACTTTGGCACAAAGGTTGACTTGGACTCAAGGATAATCCGATAAAATTTTGGTCGCCAAGGGTTAAAGGTTGAGGTCGCCGTGACGTTGCATCCATCTCATTCTCATGAACACAATACCTCAGGGACAGCTTGAGGAAATTTCTTTGAATTTGGCACAAACATTCACTTGGACTCCACAACAAACTTATACGATTTTGGTGGTCATAAGTAAAGGGTTAAGGTCTGTGTGACCTTGTCTGTCTCATTTTTGTGACTGGGAAATGTCAATAACAGCTTGAGGGAATTTCTTTAGATTTGGCAGAAAGGCTAACTTGGATTTAACAATGAACTGACTGGATTTCAATGGTCAAAGGCAAAGGTCAGTGTGATCTAGCATGTACAAGATGTACAGTGCAAGAACACTGTAGAGAAATTTCTTTAAAATTGACACAAATGTCCACTTGGACCAAAGAAGTAACTGATTAGAATTTTGCAGTCAAAGGTAGGGATGTAACGATACCAGAAACTCACGATACGATATTATCACGATAAAGAGTCCACAATATGATATATATCACGATATTTATACAAGGGGAAAAAAGAGAAAATTTATTGTTAAAAATAGCTATTTTATTCAAAAATATTGCATGTACACTGTACAGTATGTTATTTTTAACTTGGAAGAGTATCATAAAGTATCATAAACAAATCAGCACAGTTGAACATATGCTTTCATCAAATAGAAATCATGTAAACTCAATAACACACAATCCCTCACTCACAGATACACAGAGGTTGACAATCTTGACATCAAGGAGACACTAACACTTTCTCAGAACAGGAGATGAGGAGAGGAAAGCTCCGGTCCTGCGCTTTAATGTGATATGTGTGGCATTTCTGTGCGACCCTGCATTCGCGAGTAATCCATCCAATGTGTGTGCAAAGCTGTATAAAAGCTCTGTTATACATAATTTTAGTGTAATTTTATCTTTTTTTTCCACTGTGAAAACATTGGACTACCAACAGGTGCTTGGTCTTGTTGGAAAGCTACAGTTTTGCTGTTTCACGTGATATGCGTGGCTTCTCGCTATGACGAACAGTTGCGGAGAAAATCCACAGAGAAGAACAATCAATCTCCTTACTTTATTCGCCATTCTAGCATTTCTGTTCACTTCTCTCGTTTCCTCTGGTCATGCACGGGTCAGAGTCTGAGACTGAGAGGCTGAGCTGCAGGGGTCTGCTCTCACCTGCGCGCGCAGTTGCACGCAAAGGATTATGGGGAATGTAGTCGCACAGTCATATTACCGGCTCTGTAGGAGAACGCAGCTATTTAACTACCGTAGCATTCCCACGACGGTATCGAGAATTTATTTTATTGCGACACCGCAAAATTCGATATATCGTTACATGCCTAGTCAAAGGTCAAGGTCAGTGTGATCTCACAAAATATGTTTTTGGCCATAACTCAAGAATTCATGTGCTAATTTTGACAAAACTTCACACAAATGTCTAATAGGATAAAATAATGAAGTGATGACATTTTATATCCAAATTGTCAAAGGTCAACTTCACTGTGACATCATAATGTTCTCCATAAAGCACTTTCCTCAGGAACAGAAAGGGAAATATTTGGTCAGATACTTAATTGGTAACACTCATCTTGGTGTCCACTTTGAAAGTGTAATGATTTTATAGATTTTCTGTGCTGCTGGGTGAACAGTGTGTGTGAAGTATCCATGTTTTCACAGACATGGATGTAAAATGTAAGAGAAACTTGACTGATGCGTGGAGGCATACAACCGTAGGACAGTAATTCTAATTTAGCAACCTGTCATTGTGTTTTCTGCTGGGATTGTGCCATCAAAACTAGGTATTTGAAGCCAAAACATGATCTTTTCATAATCATAACCAAGTGGTTTTGTGCCTAAACCTAACCACACAATAGTCACAGCAGTGTTGAAATGTAAAGTTTTAACATATCTGTGACAACATATCCAGAAATGTACGGTTCCAACATTTAGTGTGGCGATAGGGTTGATTTTTTTCAGGATTCTTTTGAAATTGTGTTAAATGGATGGTATCAAAATCTGACCCTATTCCTTGTACCGTAGAGTTAGAGGTAAAATAGCTGTAGCTGTCATCTTTTTATAGTTGTAGTTAGTCTGATCACAGCTGACTGGCAACAATCCAACATGTTTTGAAGACGCTGATAATTTCCTTTTTCTTGCTTTGTTGAGACTCTCACTGGAAACTGTCAGTAAATATATTAACATGCTAAGCTGTATGAGTCTTATCCTGTGATGTTGGTTCATCATTGGATGTGTTGTTTACATGGAACAAAGAGTAACCTGATAGTTCCTCCTCCTGTGTACATGGCACTGTCATTTTCTGTAACCAGTACGGGGTTTACGTAGCATACTCAGTGGCTACACAGTGTTCTAGAAACTAGCTTTCACCACTGCAAGGGCCTACTCCAAATATCCTATAATATATGTACCTACTCAGTGAAACCAAAATCAGTGTGTCTTGAGTTGATGGAGTAAATAACTTTTAGCTGCATCAGTTTTTTTATAATTAAACAGAAATTCAACTGGAAACCAGTAGTAAAGTAGTAAAATGTGTCAGTCATCTTCATAAGTTTGATCTTTTCATCAGAAGATAAAGGAACAAAGGGCTGGGACTCCCTGTGGCTGCCTGCCGTGTTTTGAGCACATGACTTCACCTTCGATATTGTACAACGTTTAGGTTTCATGGAAGAATGGTTTAAGGTACCATGCAAAGACCACAGGGGAATTTTTTCAAATTTGGCAAAACGCTCATTTGGACTGACCAATAAACTTATCAGAATTTGGTGGTCGAAGATCAAGGTCAGTGTGACCTCACAAAACATGTTTTTGGCGATAAATAAAGAAATCAAGTTAATCTTGGTTGTCCACCTTAAAACTGTGCTGATTGTATAGATATGTGCTGGCAGCAATATGTTTTAATTATGATTGATGATAATGATTGATTTATTAAAATGCTTTATGGGCATTCTGTAATCTCTGTTCATGGTTCAACATCCATTTTACATGAATTCTCATGTAAATCAGCATCATATCAGTTTGCTGCTGCAGAGCAGACCTGTCCCCTCAACTACAGAGGTTAAATAAATTGTCTGAATATTAGGTTAATGTTTTCAGAGAAAAAAAAAGAGACAATAGCTTTCATTAAAGATCAGATATAGTCAGGGCTTCACATCTGTACAGATGTTATTTTAAGAATCCTCACCTCCCACTGACCACAAGTCTCTGTGATGCTAAACGCTTCAATAACTTCAACTTCAATAATTAAAACAGTCCAATGTTAAGTTACAGTACACTACAGTAGTTTACGATACAGTTAGAATGGGGAAAAATGTGAATAATTGTGCTGCAGGATGATTTAAGGTGTGCCCCTAAATTTTCTGCTTGTGCTCCTAAAATTTTCAGGTAATGAATGATTATTACATACATTGAAAAGAATTCTATTTCATGTCTCCGTCTGCTGGTGGGCCATCACAATCAGAGTATGCATGCAAAATATGATGTTAATTCCACTATAGAAGAGACTTGATGATAACTAAAATTAGGTGGGTAAAAAAAGTGGATATATCCATATCAATATCAGTTATTGGCCAAATAAGTTGTTATATATTGGCATATCGGATATCTGCAAAAAATCCAATGTCATCCATCCCTAAGTGGTGCCATCAAAGACTGCTTCTAGGGTTTCATCCCCTGGACTTTCTATTGTGGTTCTTTGTGCTATACACTATAAACCCATTCAGTCATATTAAAATGTGATTTTGAGGTCGAAGCATCAATATCTTGGCGAATACTGTATCATCGCAGGTGTCTCATCAGAGTTATGGCAGCCAGGATATGGCAACCAGAAAACACAAAAACAAAACACAATACCATAATGTGGTTTTACTGTGGTATATGTAGAAGGCAGCTCCTAATACAACAAGAAGAAAATTCAGTTCGGAATTTTACCTAATTTGTCATTCTTCTACAGAGTTATTTGGTCATTAGTTTCATTCCATACTGTCTGTCTCTTCATCTAGCAGACTTGAGCAGACCGGCCTCTAATAAGAATACTCAAAATTGGTCTTTAACTCTTCTCTTTATGAAAGGTAGTGATGTTTTTATACTACTAGGGTTTTAATGAGCCTATTCTAACTGAAGACTGACGCTAGACTGTTCCGAGCTGGATGGGTCACACATGTTCACAGCAATGGACTGATTCACTGACATTCGCCGTTCTTGACAGCAACTCTCAAACACAACGCTCCACTTTTCCCTCCACAGCAGAGAAGAGGGATTGTTTGGACACTAAGTCTTGTCACTTCTGCCCTATCCTGTCTGTCCACTCTGTCCCTCCAGATCAACAACAAGGCCAATGTGGTCACCAGCCCCAAAGAACCTGTCCCCACTCCTTCTCTGGTACACTGTGTCCCTGCCTTGCTGCCTGCATGTTTGCATGCCTGTCTGTCTCTGTCTAACTGTGTATCTGTCTGTCTGTCTGTCCTGATTGCACAGCTCTGTTGAGCTCCACTTCCTTTCCACTTCATTGCCGATGGTGACTGTTTTTTTGTTTTTGTTTTTTCCTTTTTTTCCATACAGATGTTTTCAGTGGTCATGTAACATGAGCTGTCCACATGCACTTCTGGATTACTGTATTGCATTGCCACATTGCTGTACATGGGCTACATTTTCCTTTGTTGTTGATGGCTGTAATGGCAACACTGGGGCCATTGCATGTCAACTGTGGCTTATGTGCTGTTGCCACAGGTTTCAAGCAGTTGTTGTCAATGAAACTAGAGACAACACTGGTTTTCTACTGGGTTGTTTTTTAGATTTTTAGAGATGGAGGAGCTGCTTTCACTTGCTAACACATGCCCAGGTGTATGTCATTGAAAAGGCCTACCCTTAATCCCAGTCAATTGTGCGCAAAGAACTGTGGGTACTTAATGCCCAATGAGGATACACACATGCATCCCTGTAAGTACTCTAAAGAAAGGACTTGGCCCTCTGTAGGGTTCAAAGGATCCTTGTCATTGGAATGGTCCTTCGGTGGGATTCGATAAAGTAGCCTTGCTAAAATTAAGCCGGTTTAGGATACTTCCTAGACTTTTACAAGCACCAACTGAGTGCCCTTGATAAATCAGTGATATTGCAGGTTTATGTCATGCTTTGTTTCTGAGAAGGGCTTTTTGTCCATTTGGTATAAACTATGTTACCCATGAGCCAGACAGAGACTTGAATCAAAACATTGTTGCGAACTGGGAACAAAAAACTCCACACTATACTTGCTTCGTCCAAAATTGACCCAAAATCCAAAAGTGAATTACTTATCGGTCCAACAACCACAGACTTTCACCCGAAAGGCCGGTGTTCATGTTCTCTAAGATTATAAAGCCAAACCCTGTTCTTTTTTCCTAAACCCAACCACATGCTTTTGTTTCCTAAACCCCAACATGTGCGTGTCTTGGCTGAACGTAACTGTGCGTTTGTTGTTGAAGGAAAAAAACGTCAATTTACGGTGTTGTAGGGACGTAATGCGTTTATTTTGAAAGAGACTGTTTGCAAACTGTACATTTCCTGTGAAAATGGGAATTTCAGTGTATTTTGAAAACAGACGATGCATGTAACATCGGCTGAAGTTGACACAGTGTCCCAGAATGTCGTCAACCAAAGCACCCAGGGTACCTTGTATGTAATATCTTGATGTGGAAAGTCCATTATCAAACGTCGATATGTGCTGAGGTCGGAGTGAGAATGTGTTGTCTAAAGAGCGTTAGCTTGTTGTTAGCATCACATGCAACAGAATTTTCAGCTTGATAATAGCATGATTTTAACTGAAATGCACCAAGGGATTTGTATTCAACTTGTCTCCTTAATGGGATAGTTTATCTCTCTTAGAGTTATGGTGCGTTTCATATGCACTGGCAATTTGTAATTACTGAGTTGCTAGTCGGAAATTTCAACAAAGTTCCTTTAAAGGACCGGCACAGTTGGGCAGTGGTTAGTACTGTCACCTCACAGCAAGAGGGTTCCAGGTCTGAATCCACTGGCTGGCTGGGGCTAGCCTGGAAATCCAGACTGAAATCTAGAAAGATTTTGAGTCTGGCCCTCACCGATACACCCTTCCTACCCAAGGGGCGACAGTTACTGAGGCATATTAAATGCCACTGCACACAATTGGATAGCACAATAGCCAATCAGAGCAAAAAACAAGGTGACATATTCATTGCAGTAAGCCCCATTGGTTTGCTGACCAGTGGGGTTAACTGATATGTTATGCTTTTGCTGTATCCCGTCGGCAAAACGGCAAAAACGTCCTTCTTGAAAGCGAAGGCTTCTCGGGCAGTCCTCTGTTCCTCTCTCAAGGAAAAAGATAAGTGTAGTTGGCTTAGCGTTTCCTCCAAAGCTAAATTGAATGGGTACGGTCCTTCTGCAGCTGCCTTCTTGGCTCTTTACTTTTCGACTCCTATGATGCAGCGCTGTCGTCAACATGTTACGCCTGCCCAGAGCCTGCCTCTGCCAGATAGACTGATCTGATTGGTCCAATTTATGATTCAACGGGCTCTGCTCGTCGGGGCCAGATTCCCGTGCAGTGCAAATTTGAATTTGCTAGGGGCAGGGCATCTGGATTTCCAGGTTAGGCTGGGGCCCTTCTGCCTGAGGTTTGCAAGTTCTCCTCATGTCAGCCTGGGTTTTCTCCGGGTTCTCCAGCTTCTTCCCACAGTCAAAAGACATGCAGGCTAGGTTAATTGGTGACTCTAAAATTGCCTGCAGGTAGGCGTAAACGGTTGTCTGTCTCTATCTGTAAGCTTCGTAGTTGTCCGGCGACCTGTCCATGGTGTACCTAGCCTCTCACCCAATGACAGTTGAGATAGGCTCAAAAGGGATAGTTATAACGCAAACTAACTAACTGATCAAAGCATTGGTAGGCCAGCAGCTCCTGTGGTCAGCGAGCTAAAATTACTGTTTCTGTCAATGGAGTCTGGTGGCTTTGAAGAAAGCATAGATGATGAACTGAAGCCGTCTACAGTAACGTAAAGCAGTGAACTTGCCTGTGGATATTCTCATTCATCCAGGTCATAGTTATCTCAAGGCAATTGAATCGAACGCAACTGGACTTGGTTTTGTCTTAGAAGACGTTTCACCTCTTATCCAAGAGGCTTCATCAGTTCATGCTTGTCTGACTAGGCTGAAACTAGTCTGACAAACTGGTGTGGAAGCACCCAGGTATTTAACCTCTGGGGAGGTCTTCACAAGGCCAATGATGTCACTGGTTCGTTAGTGCTCCAGTGGTGTGTCAACGACAGTCGTTGAAACTCCTGCTGCAACGGTTGTTACTGGAGTCGTTAGAGTCACATGAGGCCATTTGTGAACGACCGTTGTTTTTAGAGGTTAAGTTGTTAAGCCTCCTGGGCAAGGATGAAAGTACAGCATTATAGGTGGGGGATAGGTGGTGTCGCAGACCTCCTCCTCTATTGAGAGATGGCTTTTCCAATTTCACATAGATGGCTTGAGGTAAAGCAGTGAAAATACTCTTAATATGTTGTATTCTTAAAGTGGTATAGATTACTTTTGATGGGACTTCTTTTAGGTAGCTAAAATACATTTTGTCACTGACCCCTTCACAGCAGTGGATTGCTTAGCTTCCATGTTGGAATCCAGCCTGCGTGGGGGCATGCTGACTGACATCTACTGTTTGTAATACACTGACTATGGACAAGTACCCCATACAACCCCACCTCAAAAAATCTGAACTTTCCCATCAGGGGATTTTAGTCAAAGTGAATCATGTTACACATGTCAGCTGGGACACAGTGACACAGCACCAGTGTACAGCAAACAGTTTTGCAATGGCATGCACCATATATGTAAAGGAGAAGGAGATCCATCCTGACAGTTAAATTGTGTTACCTCTCTGTCCTTTCTGGTGTTGACTATTTCTTTAATGTCTTTACAGTAACATGGATATATGTTTAATGTATCTGAAGATGTGTGTAATTGGTCAAATGCCTGCCTCTTACATATTCATGTCAACCTTTTTTGAATGTTTAAGCTGTAAAACAAAAAATTATAAAAGTATTCTGCAGCTGTTTCTAAGGCACATCTGTTAACAGGTTGTTTCCATGGTGTCTGTGTTTAATTACTAGTTACTTATTGTCAAGTTTTTGTCAGTATTGGGTGATACTTGATCACCTGTGGTTAAAGACTTTACTTGATGTTCTAGGAACTGTCACAGCTTCCATTGCCATAACCTCCCAGGTATCTGTAATAGTGCTGCAGTATGCTGTAGTGATTCTGTTTTTAGTACCGACTTGCTTCCCCCGACATAGAATTTATATCTTTTCCCCTTCTTCCTTCACTACTTTTTTTTTTTTCCTTTTTGGCAAAATACCTTTCTGTCAAGCATTCTTCCTAACTCTCTTCCATTCTGCATCAACTTCTCTTCCTACTGTCGGCCCTCTCAAATCAGGAGCCTCAAACCACTGTTATCCACAACCCAGCTGATGGAAACAAGGTATACGGCTGATCAGATGCTGGTCTGGTATGGAGTTATATTTGTGTCTTTATTACATGTGAGAAAATAAATGATATGAGAGAGAGAGAGAGAGAGAGAGAGAGAGAATGTTTTCACACTGATAGCAAAAAAATAATATTTGAGAGTAAAAAAAAGTTTTTTGAGAGTTTTTTCTTGGAAATCATTTTTTAAATCTCAGATTATTATTTTTTATATTCTATGACAAAATACTTTCTCTCAAAACTTTTTTTAGTCTCAAATGTTATCATTTTTTGCTATCAGTGTGAAAACTTTTTCTCTCAAATATTTTTTTTTTCTCTCAAACATTTTTTTTTCCTCTCATATCATTTATTTTCTCGTATGTAATAAAGACACAAATATAGCTCCATAGTCTGGAGCTCTAATTTGCTGCTGATGTGTGTGCCATTTAGAGTAGAGCCTTAACGTTGCTTCTGATGATGTTTGTGTGCCATTGGATGTTACTTACACTCGACATGTCGTGATAAAACAAGGGACTATGGTATTACTGTGAAACAGTGCATGCTGTTATCAACTGTTGCATGTAATTCTTTGACTTAACATTTGTCATCATTGTGTACGGTTTTGTATATAACTTCCTAAGCTGGATATTTATGTGATTGTTATGATGTAAGATCTGGACATAAAAATGAGTTTGTTTTATCTTACAAAGCATGTAAAATGTTGTCAGTTTTATAGTTGTGTCCGAGACACTGGGATTATGCATGCTTTTGGAACAGAATAAACACCATGCAATGCCATGATTACCAAAGTTGTTTCAAGCCTTAACAGAATAGCCTGGAGTCCATCTGCCAAGTCTGTGCAGATGTATGGATCTGTGTGGGAATACGTGCATGCTTGTATATTTTGCTTTGTGAAGTGACATGATGGTGATGTGGCTCATAGTGTAGCATACAGTATACGTTCTTGTGCATAGTAACAGTGTTGTGTAGTACCATACAGGAGGAAAGAGTCCAGCTGTTTGCTTAAGTCATCACTTATATAAATGTAATATTCTGCTTTTTTGTGTTTGTGTTCATCCACAAGCAATGTAAGGGTCATTGTACAATGTGTCATCCAACATGGGATCACTTCTTATGTAACAAAGGGTTGGAGAGGGTGAATGTGAATGTTGTAGAATGTGTAGTTTCCACATAAAGGATAATTCAATTTAGTATTACCCATCATTCCCACTGGTAACAGTAAGAACTTCTTAATTGCTGAGATCTGGGAAAATTTACACATCTCTAAAAAGTCAAGATGTTTGGAGAAACATGAGCAGTCAAGCAACCAGACAGTGTGTAAATAAAACCCATTATATTAGCTGAGGGAAGGAAACTTATTTGGAAGGAAAATTAATGCAAAAGTACAATTCTTACCCAAACTATCTGCTCTCTAGCTTAGATGGACTTCCTGTTTAAACATTAATCTATTAGACTTACTATATTGACCAATATAAATATATTGGCTGTATCAATAATATTGTTTGACATAAGTTTATCACAGATATTTTTGTACTGGCATATATGTATGCACCAATGATACTGTGAAAGGATGAATGGTTATTGGCCATGATATTCAACATTTTTACAAATACTGAAATTGTTATGTATGCAGTAGCTGATAAATGAATTGGCAATGCACTTCTTTGACTTTGGGTTGGATGATATGAAAAAAATCAAATATCACAATATTTTTGACAAAATACTTCAATAACGATATTGCGACAATACTGTAGGGTTGACTGTTGGTAATTGCACAAAATATGCATACAATGTCTGTGACAGTCTGTGACACCAGGGGTCAGCACGCCCAGGTCCCCGCCCCTGCCTGTTGCCTGGTACACAATGCACACAATGCTCCATACTACTTTTCGCCACTGTCCTATTTCCAGCCTCGCTGCCCCTGAATTAAATGCCTTTTTCCCCCCACTCGCTCTCTGCTTGTACATACCAGCTCCTGTAGCAGCTCTGTTTCTCTGCTCCTATGGCAGCTCGACTCCTCTTCTAACCATGGATGCATAAAGAGAGCTCTGTCACTGTTGCTCTGTCTCGTGCATGACAAAGACTGGATGACGAGACTCGTTGAGGTCGAGAAATATCCCAAACTAAACGACCCATAGTCCCGACATTATAAAGACAGTTGCCAAAAAGATATTGCCTGGCACATCATAACTCTGGAGATTGGCTCTTCAGGTGAGAAATCAAGTTTAGTTAGGGGCTCTCCACTCATGATTTTAAGCTAATGCAGAGGTGGAAGAGGTACAGATCTTTCTGTAAAAGTAAATCTCAAATACAGCTGCTGGCAAGATATTGTGATTTGGGTAGACATGCAGGAGGAGAGTGTTCTAAATACAGAAACCTGTAACACTTGAAGTGATGGTTCTTCGGGAACCTCGAACCATTCCTTGGTTGAATTTACAAAACAACTATTGTATCATGATATATACCAGTACAGTGATATAAAATTACATATGCAGTTACAGAAGATTTTTTTCATACCACCCACCCAAAGTCACTATATTCTCACAGCATAATATCATCACTGTTGCCACGTACCATCTATCTGGTAACAACGAGACTGTGTCAAAAGTCAAATCCCAAATTTAGATGGTGAAGTAGATAATGGTAAAATGACCTGTTGTGGATGAACACTGAGCATATGGATCTCATTTGAACTCGGGTTGTTTGTCCTCAGCTTGGTTGTGCTTTTACATCAGGCTGCTTTTACTCATGTGTCTCTTATGTTGTTTGACAGGAGTCCAGTGAGAGTGCCAACACTACCATCGAGGACGAGGACGTGAGAGGTAGGGAGGTTCAGACTAACCAATACAAACTAGCCTTCAGTTAACAGGAAAACTCCCAGGCGCGTCTTTAAAACTCTTTCCTCTCAATCTGTTAACAAGTGCTGCCATTTGAAGTTTTTACCTCACAGTTTAAGGTCACCTCTCTTCTCCCTCTGCGGGTGCACTGCATTATATGTTTTTCACTGGTTGTGTCTGTTGCATGATGGTGTTGCATGTTTTGTAATTAATATCTTTCAGTATCAACATGTTTCATTTCTCATGGTCCATATGTCTTTATTTTAATTCAATTCAATTCAATTCAATTTTATTTATAAAGCCCAAAATCACAAATCACAATTTGCCTCACAGGGCTTTACAGCATACGACATCCCTCTGTCCTTAGGACCTTCACAGCGGATACATGTCATGTCTGGCCCAGTACCATGTACATGAACTATGGCAGAATAAATCTACTAGGGGCCCCCAGGCTGTCACATAAGTTATCTGTCACATCATTCAGACACAAATTTATTTCAATCAACCAACTCCCATGAAATGGATTATTATGTGAGTGGACAATATTTGGTTGGTTCTGAGCTTGTTACTCCAGTGGTGGTGGACCCTACTTGAAAATGTTTTCAAATTACTAAAGACCAACTGACAAATAATTCATATTTTGCCTTTGGGGCCCCTGAGGGTCTGATGCATTCACCCAGTTTGCTTAGAGGGTAATTTAGCATTAACTTAAACTCACTTTTGAATGTAAAACCAATAACCAGATTTCTGGAAGTCTAGACATGCACACTTTGATCTAGGTCAATTACAAGTTTTCTATGAATATTATAACAATATCAATATTACAAAATATATTCGCTAATATTGTTGATATATGTATGCATAGGTTGGTAGGGTGCTTAGCCTGGAAGTATTAATTAAATATTCAATCAATCAATCAATCAATCAATCAGTCAATCAGTTTTATTTATAAAGCCCAATATCACAAATCACAATTTGCCTCAGAGGGGCTTTACAGCATACGACATCCCTCTGTCCTTAGGACAGCTGGAGTTGGATTGTCAACTGCAACGCTGTTGACCGCATCAGTGATTTTTTTCCATACTGCCTTTTTCCAACATCCTTTGATGCCACTTTTCAGGCTGCTAGATAGAAACAGTTTAATTGGACCTGGAATGTCAGCGTTTCCACTTCTAGCTCAGAGAAATTCTCCTCTCATATTACAACTCAATGGACGAGGCCTCTAAACCCATAATATATTGGAGCAGGATATTTAAATGACTGTTGTTTTCAACTGCTATATTTATCAACACCCGATCATTCTTACGCCGTTTTAGCCTGGATAAAAATGTTTCATGCATCACACACGAACACTATCGTTGGATGATTTCTGCGCTAGGATCTGAGCTGGTTTGTATGTTAGATTAATAAATGAGGGCCAGTATGTGTCTTTAGGCATTTTTGGACCAAACAGTTCTGGAGTCTCTATTAATCTCAAGAATTTATCCAGTAATCATGACAAAATTTCACACAAATGTCTAATAGAATAACAAGATGAAATGATGACATTTTATATCCAAAAGGTTGAAGGCCGGCTTCACTGTGGCATCATAATGTTCTGCAAAAAACACTTTTCTGGCCATTATTCAACTCTCAGGAACAGAAGGAGAGACATTTGGTTAGATACTGAATTGGTGACACTAATCTTGGGTGTCTACCTTGAAACTGTACTAACTGTATAAATCTTCTGTGCTGCTGGGTTTAAGATCTATGTGAAGCATCCATGTTTTAGAATATGTAACTTATTTACAGCAGCATTTGAAGCATTGTCAACAGTAATGGCTACATATGAGTCTGGACAGACATGGATGTAAACTCTAACTGCAACTGGACTGGTTCGCAGAGGCATACAACTGCAAGACCAATAGGGCCAATCAATCAATCAATCAATCAATCAATCAATTTTATATATAAAGCCCAATATCACAAATCACAATTTGCCTCAGAGGGGCTTTACAGCATAAAACATCCCTCTGTCCTTAGGACCCTCGCAGTGGATAAGGAAAAACTCCCCCCAAAAAACCCTTTAACGTGGAATGCCGCATTGGCTGTGTGTAACTTATAATGTCTTGACCAGTCACCATACACTTATGTTAATCAGGGTTCCTGCTCTTGGAGAGTACCTGAAATAGAAACCATAAAGTCCCTCAAAATGGCATTTAAAACACACTAATTTGTAGTTCCTTTGGTGCGAACACAACAAAAAGTATGTTCTTAGAGCTGTGAAAAAGTTCCTCTGGTCCAAAAACACCTTATATGTAGGCTCAAATAATCAGGCAAATATTGGTGGAGCTGTATATGACATTCAGAGCATATGTATGATTCAGAGACTGAGCCAGGGTTGTCTGCATACAGCTCTTAACATAGAGATGGGTGACCAAGTGGCTAGCTGCTAACACTGCGAACAGTTTTAACAATGGCAACAGTGCTGACAGAGCTAATGGTGTTAACCATGGGTGGGGGAACTGGAGGGTGGGCGCTTTGCATCTGACGAAAACAGCTGTCCTTTCACATCGGCATTATACGCCATTGGTCAGCCTTATTGTGTAATGCTGCCCAGCGACGTCAGGGAGACACGTCCTGACAACAGTGTAAGGGGGTGAAAAGTCTGAGTAGGGTGGATGGGAGAAGAGGTAGATGGATCAACAACCACTATCATCTGGGAAGCTGGTGTTTGCTTTCTGTAGGATTGTAAAGCCAAATCCTGTTCTTTTTTCCTAAACCCAGCCATGTGCTTTTGTTGCCTGAACCCAACCACATGGGTTTGTTGCCTGAACCCAACCACATGCATTTGTTGCCGAAATTCAACCACGTGCGTTTGTTGCATAAAACCCAGCTATGCCCATGTGTTGCCTAAATGGAACCACAAGCATTTGTTGTTGAAGGAAAAAAGCATCAATTCATGATGTTGTACTAACAGAGCGCATTTATTTTGAAAGAGACTGTTTGCAGACTGTACATTTCCTGTGAAAACGTGTATTTTGAAATCAGACAATACATGGAACAGGCTGAGGTTGACATGGCGTCCCCGGACATTAACAACCAACCTTATGTTGTTTGCTGCTATATAAGTGTTTTGAATGTCATATGCAGCTCTTTTGAGGTTAGCGCTGAAAACGTAACAATCCCCAAAGTGCACAAGTCTGAGTTACACTCATCTCTGTTGAAGCCATGCACCATTTGAAGGCTGTACAGCCAAACCGGGACTCCAAAAAGACTTGCAGTAGAGATCAGGCTTTCAGTAGTTGGCTATAATACCAACTAACCATTGGAAAAATATGAGCAGACAATCACCTGATACCTGGCAGTTTATAGATTGTAGTATGACAGAGAGCAAGGGGAAGGAGCTTTGTGCTTGAGTTCAGTGAAATGGATATTTGAGATATTTGTTCTAGCTATCCAAAGAGTAAAATTGATTTGTGATTGTGAGTCTTTCGGTTTGTGTTTTAGGAGTGTTCACTACAGTAGTTACCTTTCACTACTTTCAATCTGTCAAACAAATGAGATATGAATCTTTTCACATTTAGTTAAAAAGGTTTATTCTATTGTCATCTAAGCATTAACTAATTTCCTAAGGCCCCCCACATTCGAATCTTACCTTGTAGTGTGTGTAATTGTGTGTATATGTCTTGGCATATGTGCGTCATTGTCATTGATGGATGATTGGGATTGTAACTTTATTCAGCTAAGCTCTGAAATTGCTTTACACCACTGTCCTTATGATAGTGTTCAGGAGCACGTCTTCAGTTTATATCCAAGGAGGACTTTTTTCCTCATCACATCTCTCTGATATTATTCTTTTATATCATACTATAATATAGCTATTTCTTTGTCTGGCATTTGTGGCCCCAATCAGAGACTCAGTCTACAAAGATGCTTAGAAATTTTTATGAAATGAGTGGTAGGTTATAATCTTGGTATCTTTTGTGATTTCAGCAGTGAGTCCCTTGTGGAGAAGCTGTCTGTGGCAGGGAGTGGCAAGAATAAAGTGCAAGATTTGCAATGAGGGCAACTATCAATTCAATCAATCAATTTTATTTATAAGCCCAATATCACAAACCACAATTTGCCTCACAGGGCTTTACAGCATACGACATCCCTCTGTCCTTTGGACCCTCGCAGCGGATAAGGAAAAACTCCCGAAAGAAACCCTTTAATGGGGAGGGAGGGAGGGGGAGAGGGAGAGGGAGAGAGAGAGGGAGAGAGAGAGGGAGAGGGAGAGAGAGAGAGAGAAAGAGAGAGAGAGAGAGAGAGAGAGATGCAGGACAGATGGTAATGACAGTAGGTTAAACAACATTAATGAAAATAATATTATAATTATAATTATGGCTATTGTGGTACAATAAGTGGAAAGTATATATTAATATATACAGTACAGGCCAAAAGTTTGGACACACCTTCTCATTCAATGCGTTTTCTTTATTTTCATGACTATTTACATTGTAGATTCTCACTGAAGGCATCAAAACTATGAATGAACACATGTGGAGTTATGTACTTAACAAAAAAAGGTGAAATAACTGAAAACATGTTTTATATTCTAGTTTCTTCAAAATAGCCACCCTTTGCTCTGATTACTGCTTTGCACACTCTTGGCATTCTCTCCATGAGCTTCAAGAGGTAGTCACCTGAAATGGTTTTCCAACAGTCTTGAAGGAGTTCCCAGAGGTGTTTAGCACTTGTTGGCCCCTTTGCCTTCACTCTGCGGTCCAGCTCACCCCAAACCATCTCGATTGGGTTCAGGTCCGGTGACTGTGGAGGCCAGGTCATCTGCCGCAGCACTCCATCACTCTCCTTCTTGGTCAAATAGCCCTTACACAGCCTGGAGGTGTGTTTGGGGTCATTGTCCTGTTGAAAAATAAATGATCGTCCAACTAAACGCAAACCGGATGGGATGGCATGTCGCTGCAGGATGCTGTGGTAGCCATGCTGGTTCAGTGTGCCTT